GGATACCACCACCGAGGTCGGCTTCGCCAGAACCACCTGGGCGACTGTCGTGCACCTCCGCAGTACCCCGTCGCCCGGGTAACCTGGTCGACCGGGCAACCACGTCGACCAGCTGCTTCTCCTTGTGCCTGTCGACTGGCCAGGTCGACGACCACCCGTGGTCAACCACACCAAGTTGACCACACCCCTGGTCGACCAACTCCAGATCGACCAGGCTAGGTGGCAGCCAACCACACCAATTCGGCATCACCAGTTCGGCGTCACCAAGTCAATACCCTCCCAGGTCGACCTTCTAAGTCGACCTCCTGAAGTCGGCGCCCTCCCGAAGTCGGCACCCCTCCCCGGTCGATATCTCCCCTCGTCGACCACCAGGTTGAAGTCGTCCGCCAGCGTCCCAAAGTCGGTGGCATCACAGTGTCCCGGTGCAGGTCGACCAACCCGTCAACCAGCTCGCTCAAGTTGGCCTCGCCCACTGCTGCAGGTCGGCTGCACCTCCCGAACACCCGACCACGAAGTAGGCTCCGCCCAATCAAGGACGGGGCCAACACACAACTCTCGTTGACAGTTGGAACCAAGAGTAAGTGCGTTACTTACCCATATGGTTGGTTCCAAAAGTAAGTGAGATATTTACCAATGTGGTTGGTACCAAAAGTAAATGCGCTACTTACCCATATGGTTGGTACCAAGAGTAAATGCGTCAGTTACCAATATGGTCGGTACTAAGAGTAAGTGCATTAATTACCCTTATGATTGGTACCTAGAGTAAGTGCGTTACTTACCCATATGGTTGGTACCAAGAGTAAGTGCGTTAATTTCCCATATGGTTGGTACCGAGAGTAAGTGCGTTACATACACATATGGTTGGTACCAAGAGTAGGTGCGTTAATTACCCATATGATTGGTACCAAGGGTAAGTGCGTTACTTACCCATAAGGTTGGTTTCAAGAGTAAGTGAGTAATTTACCAATATGGTTGCTACCAAGAGTAAGTGCGTTCCTTACCCATATGGTTGGTACCAAGAATAAAGGCGTTACTTACCGATATAGTTGGTAGCAAGACCAAGTGCGTCAGTTACCAGTATGGTTGGTACCAAGAGTACGTGCGTTACTTTCCCATATGGTTGGTACCAAGAGTAAGTGCGTTAATTTCCCATATAGTTGGTACCGAGAGTAAGTGCGTTACATACACATTTGGTTGGTACAAAGAATATGTGCGTTACCCTCATGGACCGGTTGGACCAACTGGCCTGTTGGCCTAATGTTCAGGTTGGACTAGCTGGCCAGCTGGTCCATTAGACCGGTTGGACCAACTGGCCAATTCGTCCAATGGACTGGTTGGACTAACAGGCCCGTTGGCCGCATGGTCCAACCGGTCAAAAAAACCAACTGGCCAGTTGGTTTAACCGGTCCATTGAACCAACTGGCCAGTTGGTCCAACCGGTCCATTGGATCGAAGTTGGACAAACGGTCCACTGGACCAACAGGCCAGTTAGTCCACCGGTCCACTGGGCCAACAGGACAGTTGGTCCAACTGATCCATTTGACCAATAGACCAATTTGTCCAATCGGTCCATTGGACCAACTGGCCAGTTGGTCCAACCGGTCCATAAGTCCAACAGGCCAGTTCGTCAAATCGGTCCATATGACCAACAGGCCAGTTGGTCCAAGCCTGTTGGTGCAACCGGTCTACAGGACCAAAACGCCAATTGGTCCAACCGGTCCATTGGCCCAACAGGCTAGTTGGTCCAACCGGTCCATTGGACTGAAGTTGGTCCATCCGGTCGATTGGACCAGCAGGCCAGTTGGTCCAACCAGTCCACTGGACCAACTGGCCAGTTGGTCCAACCGGTCTACTAGACCAACTGGCCAGTTGGTCCAACCGGTCCATAGGACCAATAGGCCAGTTGTTCCGACCGGTACATTGGACCAACGGGACAGTTGGTCCAACCTGTTAATTGGACCAACGGGCCAGTTGGTCCAACCGGTCCATTGGACCAGCGGGCCTGTTTGTTCATCGGTCCACTGGGCCAACGGGCCAATTGGTCCAGACTGTCCATTTGACCAACAGGCCAGTTGGTCCAACCGGTCCATAGGACTGACAAGCCAGTTGGTCCAGCCGTCTCTAGCTCCAGCCGTTCTAGCTCCAGTCGTTCTAGCTCCAGTCGTCTCTAGCTCTAGCTTGGCATCCCTTGTCACTCCTCGCTCAAGCCGTTCTTTGCCTAGCGGTCCTCGTGCGAGCCATTCCTAGCCTAGCGGTCCTAGCTGTTCCTACCTCTAGCCAGTCCTCGCTCCAGCCACTCCTGCTAGAGCAGCTCCTAGCTCCAGCCGTTCCTAGCTCCAGCCGATTTTAGCCCTAGCCTGCCGTTCCTTGTCACTCCGTACTCCGGCTGTTCTTAGCTCCAGCCGTTCCTCCCTCCAGCAGTTGCCCAGCTAGCCTTTTACCATGGCATAGTGGCAGGGACAACAGCACTTTCAGCAGTAAGGACCTTTGCAGCCGTGGCGCTCTCCGCAGCAGTGGCACTGTTCACAGCTGTGGGGGCCTCGTGGTCCAGGGAGCGTCTGCCCAGATGGCTGGACGGGTAGTCGTGGTGATCGCGATGTTGGACTCTGCCAGTACCGGATCCTGACTAGCCCTCGTGCTGGCACTACTTGCTGGCGTCCTGACCACTCTGCACTGCGCTGCTACAGCCGCCTCAACGACCTTTACCGTGAGCGTTTTGGGCCTGACTCGGCTCCCCCGATCTGGCCCGGTATGTTTCAGGGTGTACCTACAGGGTCGGGAGTTTACCTTGGTGACGGATCACCAGCCACTGACATGGCTGATGACAACGCCGGGATTAACGGGCAGGAATGCACGGTGGGCGATGAAACTGCAAGAATACGATTTCAAGATCAAACACAGGCCGGGAAATACCTTGCATCATGTGGACGGTCTCTCCCGGAACCCCCCAAAGCCGGAGCCCACAGTGACCTTGACATTATTGGCAAGGCAAGTGGAGCTAAGTGGGGCCAAGGGAAGTAAGGGGCCAACAGATATTTGGGAGGAGACAGGCCATGCGGTGGGTGAAGGGGGAGACAGGGGAGGATGAGGAGATAACAGAGAGAGTTAGGGCGAGGGGACACGACTACCGGTGGTACCAGAAGTAGTTGCAGATACAGACCGAGGACGGATGGAAGCTGGTGCCAGCGTCGGGCGAGAGGGAGGCAGTGATCAAGGAGGTGCATACAAAACTAGGGCATTTCGGGCATGAAAGGACAGTGCAGCTGCTGAAGACGGGGTGGTGGTGGGAAGGGATGCGTAGGCAAGTGAAGGGGTGGGTGAAGGGCTGTGAGGCATGCAAATGGAGCAGGGCAAACCTCACCCAAGCCAAGGCCGAGCTACAGTCCCTGCCTATCCACGGCCTAGGCTCCAGGTGGTCCTTAGATTTGGCCAGAGAACTGCCTCTGAGCTGGGGAGGGAAGCAGTATATCGTGCTCATGGTAGAACACGTGAGCAAGTGGCTGGAAGTCTGGGCGATCCCAAGCAAGAGCTCAAGGCATGTAGCATCAGCGTTCAAGGAGCAAGTGATATGCGATTTGGGGCGTGTGCAGAGGTGCTCATGGACCAGGGGACCGAGTTCCAAGGGGAGTTCAAGAAGTTGTTAGAGGAGGCGGTAGTCACTCACAAGCGCACCTCCCGCTATCTCCCACAGAGTGATGGGCTAAAAGAGCGCCTGGTGCAGACCTTGAGGAGGAAGAGGAAGCGGGGTTGGGATGAGGAGCTGCATTGGATTGCGGCAGGATACATGTTTGGGAAGCAGGCTGCCTTGAGAGATCACTCCCCATACAGTCTCCTGTTTTGTTGCGAGACAGTGCTGCCGGTGGGGGCACCACGGGTCCTCACGGACACCGTGACAGCAGGTACCATAGACAATTGGGTGGCTCTGTCAGAAGCCAGAGCAAGTTACCTGCGGGTGATGATGCCAGCAGCACTGGAAAACCTCCACACCACACAGCTAAGAGATGTTAGGCGTTATGAGCAATAGTAGTAGCAAGGGACGGGGGGGAGAGCAAAGAAGGGAGTGAGCAAGGGGCAGGAGGAGTACCTGAAGCAGGCAAAGCAAGACACCTTAGACGTCAAGGTAGGGACAGAAAGATGGAGGGTGAGGGAAGTACATTCCTTAGGGATACTAGTGTTGGAGAACGAGAAGGGAGCACAACTGAAAGAGCACCAGACAAACACGGCCATGGTGAGGGGAAGTAAGCCTCAGCAGGATGGTCCTGTGACACGAGCTCAAGCTGCGCGAGCACGGGCACAGGAGGGGGCAGGGAGTGACTGAGGCAGAGCAACACAGAGAAGGGAGGAGGGAGGGAGACAGCAGGAAGAAGAACAGGTGCTGGACGGAGTGGTGTTCTCCGACAGATGTCACCGCATATGCACATTATGCATATGCAATAGCAGTAGTATGCTGGTGTGGGAACTCCTATAAATTGTGAACACTAGCTCTGGATGAGATAATTGTTGGGTGAATACAAGAGAACACTGAATGGCTGGAAAGTGTGTATGTGTGGGACTGCGGGACATGTCCAATGCAAATACTCTTGGTACTCCATCGCCCTCACTGCCAACCTGTCAACTGCAGGACCTGATGGGGAGGCATCTCTCACAACAGCAAAAATGCACTTAGAGGCACAGGAACGGTCAATTCGAAAGAGGAGGGAGGTGGATGGGGCTTCTGTAAAGGACATACTGCAAAGGGTGCCAAGTCATTCTCAACCATTCAAGTATAACCTGCCGACATACACTTGGAATGCGGCTGGGTAGTTGATACCTGTCAAGGGCTTCAACCACGGAGGACCGAGAAAGGGAAACAACTATGACACTTTAAAAGGGACAGGTACGCATGCAGGGAATGTCAGCGGCCTGCACCTGCTGTTTGGGGGTGGGGGTGCTAGCATGGCCTCACATGCTGATTGGGAGTAGTGGGGTTGGTGGGAATTTGAGCATGGGGACCGGAGAGCATGGGAGCATGGGTGCAGGGGCATGGGAGCATGGGTGCGGGGAAGCATGGGATCAGGGGTGCAGTGGATCATGGGAGCATGGTTGCAAGGGAGCATGGGAGCATGGGTGCAGGGGAGCATGGGAGCATGGGTGCAGGAGAGCAAGGGAGCATGGGTGCAGGAGAGCATGGGAGCATGGGTGCAGGGGAGCATGGGTGCATGGGAGCAGGGGAGCATGGGAGCCATGGGGACCGGAGAGCATGGATGCATGGGTGCATGGGAGCATGAGAGCATGGGTGTAGACCAGCATGGGAGCATGGGTGCTGGGGAGCATGGGAGCATGGGTGCAGGGGCATGGGAGCATGGGTGCGGGGAAGCATGGGATCAGGGGTGCAGTGGATCATGGGAGCATGGTTGCAAGGGAGCATGGGAGCATGGGTGCAGGGGAGCATGGGAGCATGGGAGCGGGGGAGCATGGGAGCATGGGAGCGGGGGAGCATGGGAGCATGGGTGCAGGAGAGTATGGGAGCATGGGTGCATGGGAGCAGGGGAGCATGGGAGCATGGGTGCAGGGGAGCATGGGAGCATGGGTGCAGGGGAGTATGGGAGCATGGGTGCCGGTGAGCATGGGTGCATGGGTGCAGGGGAGCATGAGAGCATGGGTGCAGGGGAGCATGGGAGCATGGGTGCAGGGGAGCATGGGAGCATGGGTGCAGGAGAGCAAGGGAGCATGGGTGCGGGGGAGCATGGGAGCATGGGTGCAGGGGAGCATGGGAGCATGGGTGCAGGGGCATGGGAGCATGGGTGCAGGGGAGTATGGGAGCATGGGTGCAGGGGAGCATGGGTGCATGGGATCAGGGGAGCATGGGAGCCATGGGGACCGGAGAGCATGGATGCATGGGCGCATGGAAGCGTGAGAGCATGGGTGTAGACCAGCATGGGAGCATGGGTGCCGGGGAGCATGGGAGCGTGGGTGCAGGGGAGTGTGGGAGCATGGGTGCGGGGGAGCATGGGAGCATGGGTGCAGGAGAGCATGGGTGCATGGGAGCAGGGGAGCATGGGAGCATGGGTGCAGGGGAGCATGAGAGCATGGGTGAAGGGGAGCATGGGAGCATGGGTACAGGAGAGCATGGGAGCATGGGTGCAGGAGAGCATGGGTGCATGGGAGCAGGGGAGCATGGGAGCATGGGTGCCAGGGAGCATGGGTGCATGGGTGCAGGAGAGCATGGGAGCATGGGAGCAGGGGAGCAGGGGAGCATGGGGACCGGAGAGCATGGATGCATCGGTGCATGGGAGCATGAGGGCATGGGTGTAGACCAGCATGGGAGCATGGGTGCAGGAGATCATGGGAGCATGGGTGCAGAAGAGAATGGGTGCATGGGAGCAGGGGAGCATGGGAGCATGGGTGCAGGGGAGCATGGGTGCATGGGAGCAGGGGAGCATGGGAGCCATGGGGACCGGAGAGCATGGATGCATGGGTGCATGGGAGCATGAGAGCATGGGTGTAGACCAGCATGGGAGCATGGGTGCAGGGGCATGGGAGCATGGGTGCAAGGGAGCATGGGAGCATGGGTGCAGGGGAGCATGGGAGCATGGGTGCAGGAGAGCATGGGAGCATGGGTGCAGGGGAGCATGGGAGCATGGGTGCAGGTGAGCATGGGAGACAGAGCTATAAGGGGGGTGAAACAGTGGGGGAAGGGGAGTGAAACAGTGGTGGGAGAGTAGCGAAACAGTGGGGGAAGGGGAGTGAAATAGTGGGGGAAGGGGAGTGAAACAGTGGGGTAAGGGGAGTGAAATAGTGGGGGGAGGGGGAGTGAAACAGTGGGGGAAGGGGAGTGAAACAGTGGGGGAAGGGGAGCCTCATGCAGTGGGGGAAGGGGAGTGAAACATTGGGGGGAGGGGAGTGAAACAGTGGGGGAAGGGGAGTGAAACAGTGGGGGATGGGGAGTGAAACAGGGGGGGAAGGGTAGTGAAACAGTGGGGAATGGGGAGAGAAACAGTGGGGGGAGGGGAGTGAGGCAGTGGGGGAAGGGGAGTGAAACAGTGGGGTAAGGGGAGTGAAACAGTGGGGGAAGGGGAGTGAAACAGTGGGGGAAGGGGAGTGAAACAGTGGGGGAAGGGGAGTGAAACAGTGGGGGATGGGGATTGAAACAGTGGGGGAAGGGGAGTGAAACAGTGGGGGATGGGGAGTGAAACAGGGGGGGAAGGGGAGTGCAGTGGGGGATGGGGAGTGAAACAGTGGGGGGTGTTGCATTGGAAGCGTGGGGGAAGGGGAGTGTAACAGTGGGGGAAGGGGAGTGAAAGCGTGGGGGAAGGGGAGTGGGAGCGTGGGGGAAGGGGAGTGGAAGCGTGGAGGAAGGGGGAGTGGAAGGGTGGAGGAAGGGGGAGTGGAAGGGTGGAGGAAGTGGGAGTGGAAGGGTGGAGGAAGGGGGAGTGGAACAGTGGGTTTTGTGGAGTGAAACAGTGGGGGAAGGGGAGTGAATCAGTGGGGAAAGGGGAGTGAAACAGTGGGGGAAGGGGAGTGAAACGGTGGGGGAAGGGGAGTGAAACGGTGGAGGATGGGGAGTGAAACAGGGGTGGAAGGAGAGTGAAACAGGGGCGGAAGGGGAGTGAAACAGTGGGGGATGGGGAGTGAAATAGTGGGGGATGTTGCATTGGAAGCGTGGGGGAAGGGGAGTGGAACTGTGGGGGAAGGGGAGTGAAAGCGTGGGGGAAGGGGAGTGGGAGCGTGGGGGAAGGGGAGTGGAAGCGTGGAGGAAGGGGGAGTGGAAGGGTGGAGGAAGGGGGAGTGGAACAGTGGGTTTTGGGGAGTGAAACAGTGGGGGAAGGGGAGTGAAACAGTGGGGGAAGGGGAGTGAAACAGTGCGGGATATTGCATTGGAAGAGTGGGGTAAGGGTAGTGGAAGCATGGAGGAAGAGGGAGTGGAACAGTGGGGGAAGGGGAGTGAAAGCGTGGGAGAAGGGGAGTGGGAGCATGTGAGAAAGGGAGTGTTCCCGTGGGGGAATGGGAGATTAACCGTCGGGGAAGGGGATTGGAACAGTTATGCATGTTGCATTGGAAGCGTTGGGGAACGGGAGTGGAAGGGTGGAGGAAGGGGGAGTGGAACAGTGGGGGAAGGGGAGTGAAAGCGTGGGTGAAGGGGGAGTGGAAGCGTAAGCACGGCACAGGGGAGCATAAGAGCAAGGGAGCAGCGGGGCATGGGAGCAAGGGAGGAGCACAACGGGGGAGCAGCGGGGCGTGGGAGGTGAGGAGCATTGCAGCAGGAGTTACCTCCCTGTCCGTCTCTATAGGACAAGCTCCCTTGGGGTTGAGAACCGCCTCACTAATAACTCGTAATCGGACATTGAAGTGCCCGTACCGGGGCATTTCGATCACAAACATGCGATCGTGTGCAGATGGCAAACTATTCGTTTGCGGTTCGACCGTCGGTCACAACGAAACTGATACCTACCCGTATGCGAGTACTGCGGTGAAGGGAGATGGGGGGAGCGGGGTGATCGAGGGCTGGATGAGACGGGGGGAGCACCGTAAGCATTCCGCTTAGTCTGCAGAGTGCGAGGGGTGTGCGCCTCGGGGAGCAATTGCGCCCCGTAATGGCCGTTAGGAATGCGCTTTTATAATTGCGCAGCCTGCCATGTGACGCCACTGCGCGGGCGAGTTTGCGTCACTATTTCGTCCCCTGTTGAGTATGCGGATTGTGATAGATCACGCCGTGTTACCGCGAAAATCACATCACATTCCTAACCGCGTTGCGCGTGTTCCTGTAAGCTGTGGCGCATGTCATTTGTGATTTCGGTGGGGCGACTCACTCCATGTCGTTCTCAGTGTAATCGCACGCTGATTTGAGCGGCACGGAAACGTGAGGCTCAAAGCCATCGGTGGCTGCCGTTAGCACATTACTATCAGTGAAGAGCCTATGGTTGTCTCTGGCGTCACTACTTACCTCGATAATTACTCGAGCCTGTTACGTCGTCGCCTTACCACCAGCACACGGTCTCGCGTGCGTAAGTACTTAGGTCAACTGCTGGTGGGTGAGTGTGTTGAAATTGTGCAAAACAGTTGACCCAGCTCTTGCACACCCACCCACTGTCGGTAGTGGTTTCGCGAAGAAGTGAAGGTTCTTTGGCGAGTCTCGTTTTGACTAAACTTTGGTTTCAGATTCGTAAGCCAATCAGACCAGCCCTTTTACCCTCGACTGCAAGGTACTTGAGACCCTGGCTTTAATCATCGCCACCCGCGCCGTCGTGGTAAGGTACTTTTCCTCTTATATTTTTTAGTTCCGCCTCCATCCTGCGTAGTGCCTTTTTCCATGAGGGCATTGCATCCCCTCCTGAGGTGATCCACACCCCCAACAGATGTTCAGGTTCATCTCGCGATGCCCACTTGAAAGAGGCAACGTCCGGCGGCGACAAGTCACGCTGTCTTCCTAGCGGTAGCACCACGGACTTGTCGCAAATTTCCGCCAGCCCAGACAGCTGTTCAAAATCCTTGAGCAGCACTTCAGCCATATCCAGCTGCGCCCGACCCTTCAGCAAAAGAGTGGTGTCCTCCGCATAACCCAGGTATGTCAGCTTCCTGGCTCCTTTGATATCAATGCCTAACCGTCGTCTCTGGGCCTCCTGGCAGAAGGGTTCCACCGCACAAAGGAAGAGACACGGCGCGAAAAGGTAACCCTGTCTCACCCCCATCTGCACCGGCACTTTGTCTCCCAGCCAGCCGTCGTTGCAGATACGTGTCGCCGCCCCTTGGTGCAGCCCCTCGACCCACTTCACATATGCCTCCGGGAAACCCATCCTTCGTAGGACCTCAAACAGGTACCCCCTTGATACCGAGTCAAACGCCTTCCTGAAGTCAACCAGGAGGAGAAGCCAATCTTCCTTCCCGGAATTCGCCGCATCAATCACATCCGCCGCGATCGCCACCGCGTCAGCAAGACTCCTTCCATGTAAGAACCCGAACTGCCCTGTCGACACCACCTTCTCCAACCTGTGTTTCACCCTGTTCGCTAGAATCTTTGCTATGAACTTATATGTCATGCTTAGCAGAGTGATCGGGCAATAGTTCTGTAAGTCCTCCTTGTCCCCCTTCTTGTGCAGTAGCACCGTCACCGCAGTTGAGAATTCCGCGACAAAGTCGCCGTCTGCTCAAAGTCCTTCAGAAAACGCATCACGTGTCTTCCCAACAGGTCCCACTATGACTCCCAGAGCTCCTTCGGGAGCCCGTCTCTCCCCGGTGTTTTGCCTGCTGCCATTTCCGCAAGCACACGCTTGACGTTTGCCTCCTCCCGCGATGCACATAACGCAGTTGCGTCGTTAGGGGAGAAGCACATGTCCATCCTGAAGTCGTGTAAGGGTCATGGGTCCGCCTTGGCTGCAAATAGGTTGGCATAAATAGTGGACGCTGCTTTGAGCGCTTCCCTTGCCCCCGCGTGCTGCTGCCCTTGGTTGTTCACCATTTCAAGCCTCATCCTTCCCTTCCTCGCCTTGATTTTAGCCGACAGAAATCCAGTAGGAGCTTCTCTGTTCATCTCTACCTTGACCCCGCCTGCTCCTGCATTTTCTGACGCCTCCAGTCCTCATATGCTTTGAGTTTAGCCTCGTACTTCACCAGCCGCGCCTTCGCCCTTGAACACCAAGGTTTGTTCATCACCTTCTGCCTCAGCTCCCCAACCTCCCGTTCCAGGTGCGTCGTTGTGGCTGCCACTCGCTTCCTCTCTTCCACTGTGTACGCCCTGAGCTCGACTTTTAGAGAGGCCGTCAGGGCTTCCAAGTCACCCCCCTCTCCGCGTTCCTCCACACATTCTGCGTCACTCGCATCCGCACTCCAGGTCGCGGTACTTGAGATGCCGGGACCCTCCACAGGCCAGGGCCAGCCTCCCCGTCTCCCCCCGCGCTGAGCTTCATGTGGACTGCAAACCAGTGATCTGTGAACCTTTTGACAAGCGCCACATGCCGAACTTCATGAACCTGATGCAGCAGCGACTGTGAGACTAGGATGCGATCAATCCTCGTGCTCTCCCTCACTGCCGTCGAGAAGAATCGCCCTGAAGGCATCGCGGATATCAAAGCTACTGCAGAGTGTTGTAAGCCTGTCATTTTCCCCTTTTTATCCGGCTCCTGACGTCTTATCTAACGCTGGGTCTTCTACTATGTTCAGGTCTCCCGCCAGCACTAAGTGGCTCCAACTGGGAATCACTGCGATGAACGGCTGGAGCACGTCTCAAAATAAAGGCCATCTCGCCGTTGGATTCGAAGGGAAGTAAGCCGCTACAAGTACCATTACTATTCCTCTCCAAGATAGAGTCACCCGCACCAGACGACCTGAGCTATCTTTGACCGGATCTGTAAGGGACACTTTACTGTTGAGAGAGATAACCACCACCCACCCCCGCTCTGGCTGCAGGTGAGACCACTACTACCAAGTTCGCTTGTATATGAGTCCAAAAGTTATGATCCTCCGGAATCCTTGTGTCTGTAACTTGCGCTACTTGCTTTAATCACCGGTGAGTATTGTGCTGTTTCTGCAAGCAGCCAAGCCCGTTAATGTTCAACACGCTGAATGAAAGGGTGGTGTGTTTACCCATCTGAGAATTGTGATAGGCCCCAAAGCATCCACGGGCCGGAGGTGAGATTGCTGCTGCCAGCTGAAATCATTGTGTATATACTCTATGATAGTATAGATGCTGCTCCATTGCTTATCACGCTACACCGTTCCTTCTCCCTTCCTGCACTGGTTTCACTTCGCCTTTACCGCCTTTGCGCGGATACGGAACAACCTCTTCACCGCCTGCAGGCTCTGCTTTGCTTTGATTGCACGAGTTGCCACCCCTGCCGCTCCCACCGCATATGCATGGCGAAAGGAGCCGATATGCGTGGCCGCCTGCTCGAAGGTCTCCCCATGCACGCGGTCGCAACACTTCTGAACACACAACCAATCCTCCGCGCTGGACTCAGTCGAGATCAAAACCCGCGCTGACCACCCCTGTCGCCTGGAGGGAGGCCGCTGCAGAGCACACAGATCACGTCTCCATCAGTAAGCATGAAGGTAAGAACTACACAGCAGCTCAACCCCCACCATGCTGGCTTGACCCCGTCCCCGTTACCGTTAAGCGCTTCGACCCTGCCTAATGACAAGTTCCATTTGGCGATGATGTTCTGCCACTCAGTCACATACTCATCATGCAACTTTTCCATGTGCTGTCCCTGGCAGAAGCCACGGGACATTGACGGAATGTGCACGAGGTACAACTTCTTGTCGATCAGAAGGTCCTCCATCATGTGTCGCCAGCGGTACGTGTCACCAGGATGCGGGACCACCAGTCCGCGGATCTTGTCCGTGCCCAGACTAGTGACCGGATCCATCACACGGTGGAAACCCGCGCCGTGCAGGAACACCAACCTCCCACGCTTGTGAAGCTTCGCGACCATCAGCGACTCATAGACGATCGTCGGCGTGATCTCTGCAAGCACTCCCTTAAGAAGCACGTCCACCCCTTCTGGCATGTCAACCTTCGCCTTCAGGAAACTGATGTCGATCGGATGCTTCCAGCCGAAGGTGTAACGTGTCTTGCCGTCCGCACCCACATGGTCCACCTGATGCTGCCGGACCACCTCCGCATCCGCGGTCAAAGCGAAGGTGGCCTGCAGACGGCTGAAGCGGGTCCGTGACAGGTACGTCGAAAGCAGCTCCTGAAACGAGAGCGCATCATCCAACAGCTTCTTCCTCAAGAACACCAGGAGAGCGCGCACCAATTTCTTCGCCGCATGGACTTCCTTAGCCAGGTCATGAGGAATGAGGAGAATCAGCATGACACGCGTCTTGGATGAGAGAAGGCCTTTCACTTGCATATCAATCCCTTCGTCAGAGTCATCGCTCAGATACCCATCGTCTTCTTCTTCCTCATCCAACACCCCCGCAGGAAGCTCCGGGCGACGGGATTCAGCGACCGACGCGGAAGCGCCAGGAACCGGCACGGATGTTGAAGCCACGGGAGCGACACCAGCCGTGATGGTTGCAGGGGCATTAGTCGCCTCGCCTGCGACGACCACTTGCTCCGGTACCGGCACCTGCGGGTCCTCTGGGTCGTCATGGTAGAATGAGCCTTGGTGGATCCGCCTTGCGGAGGCATGCTGGGAAGACGAGAGCAGGACAGCTGAACAGAAGCGTTGGGTGTAGTGTTGTCCAGCGACTTCTTGCGGGACATCCATTCCCAGGGCTGAGCTTGTCGAAACTTAAGCCAGGGTGATCTTATCCCTTGCAAATTGCAAGCAAACTCAGCACGGCTGGCATGCTCCTGCCTTGCATGCCTGGACCACCAAATCAGCGAACGAGTAGAATGCAGTCACCAACTACCTAGAGCACTACGTAGCGATAACTCTGACCTGGGAGGAGTAATCCATGAGCTAAACTAACGTGGAAAGCTATAGAGCAACGACCTGACAAGACCCTAGGCTGACACAGACAGGTTGGCTCAAACTCGATAAGCGTGAAGGATACCCGCATGATGGGTACAGTTTGTTAGAAAGAAGAAGTGGTTGGACTAGAAAGGAATGAGAGTACAAGTACCTAACCCTAGAGTAATGTACCCCCTAAAGGCTAACCCACTGTAGCCTACACAAAAACAACATATATAATGTTTGACACACCCCCATAGGCTAAGTGGGGGAGAGCAAGCGGTCACAAGACCAGTCAAAGCAAAGCAAAGCAAGACAAGCTCAGGGTGGATCTCAAGGATACCACACAAATTCCGAGCACAAGCAAGTGGTCACAAGACCAGTTCACATGCAGTTTGATAATATAGCAAGAGGTACAGTGATCACAACCTAGCAAGTGTAAGCATGCAGGTATATATATAGAGATCACAGTACAAGCAGAGTCAAGAAGTGAGCAAGTGAGGGACAGTAGGCACAAGGCCTAGAACAGTACAGAAACGCTGATGATCACAAGGCTGAAGCACCTTGGTGAACACATCAGCAGTGTTGGCCCGAGTGGCCACGTACGAAAGACGAAGCCGACCACGCTGCTGCAGCTCCCGAGCAAGGAAGTAGCGCAGAGCGATGTGCTTCGTTCTGTGCTCCAGTCTGTGCTCCTAACACAAAGCAAGGGCGGCCTTGTTGTCAACGTACAGCACTGGAGGAGAACGAGGACGCTCGCCCAGGTCGGTCAGCAGGTAGGTGAGCCAGCGTAACTCCTGTGCAGCCATGGCTGTGGCGTAGATCTCAGCCTCACAACTGGAGCTGAGAACTGAAGACGAGCGAGTAGAACGCCAAGAAACTGAACCACAGCCAAGACTGAAGGTGTAACCCTGAGACGACCGCTGCGTAGCCTGGTCGTCAGCCCAAGAAGCGTCTGAGTGCCCAGTGAGGACAACGTCTCTCCGTCCTCCAAGCACAAGCCCCATGCCCGACGTACTGCACAAGTAGCGCAACACCCTCTTAGCGGCATCCATGTGCTCCTTCCGGTGACGGCCAGGAGCGACATAGCGTGCTAGGATGCTAAGAGGGTATGCAAGGTCAGGTCGAGTGCAGGTCATCAGGTACATGAGGCAGCCCACAAGCTCTGGATACGGGCCACTCGGCTCTACGGACTCATCCGAAGGTAGAGCTGAGAGCGAGTGACCGGTAGGCAGAGGAGTGGGCTGAGGCGAGGAGTACGTGAAGCGGAAGCGCTGAAGGACCTGCTGCACCATGTGTGACTTGAGTCAAGGTGATGGTGCGCTGTGCTCTGTCCCGGGTGATCCGCAAGCCAAGATAGCTTGTCAGTTCACCCAGGTCTGTGCACGTGTGTCTCTTCTGCAGCTCCGACTTCACGTGGGCGAGTGCCTCAGTGTCAGCAGTAGCAAAGTCCAGGTCGTCTACGTACACTAGAACGTAGAACGGCGGCAGAGTGGTGTCGGTGCGTAGAAACAGCGACGGGTCAGCAGTTGAAGGAGCAAACCCAAGAGCAGCAAGAGTAGTCCTCAGTGTGTCGTGCCACTCACGGGGTGCCTGGCGGCCCCCGTAGACTGGCCGCCGGAGGCTCCACTGGGTACCAGGAGGGAACGACCTGTTATAGTCACAATAGGCTCCAATGTGCCTAAAATGAAAGATAGAGTGCACAGTCGGATTTCTGCACAGCGGCTTCAAACGTTCATAGCGTTCTGGTCACACCTTCAAATGACCTGATTCAACTTGGATCTGGAGCGTCTTAATGTTGCCTACAATAGGCAATTTAGATCGCACGATTTCACCAAGTATTGACGACACAGTGTCGGTTTGAACGAACGACACTATGGCAGCCACTATAGTCTTAGAACACACAATAGGAAGAGTTAGGAAGAGTTACGAGTTGGGAATGACTCCCAGCTCCTACAAACCCCAAGAGACGAGGTACAGTGATGTGGAACAGTGCCACACTATCCCCAACCAAGAAGGGGCTCGAAACTACCCTTCACAAGGGCCTACACCAACTGAAATGTTACACTACACAAAGTAATGTAACTATCTTCAATATCTTGAGGTGTACCCTTTTGGCGAGCTTCGCGATCACTTGAATGTTGACACCAGGGGCTCGGGTTCTTCATCACAAACTCATCCTTGAGTTCTTGATGGGTCTGCTGCACACACCTGCGACACGCCGAACGTTCGACAAGCGACAAAATAGAAACCGCGCACGACAAAATAGAAACCACGCGGGACACACAAAACGACCACGTTACACGCGACTAGCGATAATTCGCTATTGACTTGACACAGACACTCGACATCATGACCCATCATTCACACACTATTATAAGCATGAAATATATATTTATTTCATGCACTCATTCCATTCCATGCACACACGTATGCACGCACACGGACAACAAGCCGAGTGCAAACCGTAGGGTTGCACCAACACGACCCAGTGAAGCTAGGTGGGCGGCGCAGCCAGATCTCCTCGTGCAGGCTGCCCTGTAGGAACGCAGTGCTGAAGTCAAGAGAGTGGAGCTCGTAGTCACGCTGAGCGGCGACGTGCAGCAGAACCCGAAGAGTGGTCATCTTCGGTGTCGGGGAGAAGGTCTGAAAGAAGTCAACTCCCTCTCGCTGACTGAAGCCTCGTGCAACGTACCGCGCCTTGAGGACAGACGGAGAACCCGGTGGCCGCTTCACTCTGAAAATCCACATGCCACTGACGATGTTCGCCCCAGGTGGGGGAACCTCGTGGACGTAGGTGCCTGTGGACTTCCAGGAAGCCATCTCTGCGTCCATGGTTGTCTGCCACTGAGAGGAGTAGGGACCCTCCATCGCCTCTGCGTAAGAGCGTGGGGTCGGGATGTCTGGTGCATCCGGGTCTAACTCAGGGGCAATCAGCATGGACACGAGATGAGGTAAAGCAGCAGCAAAGCACTCAAACTCCTCCTGTCTGTCCTCAAGGACGTCCGTGCCAAGAGCACACTCACCCCCGACGGACGGAGGACAGACAGACTCAGACTCAGCAACAAGGCTAGCAGCGTAGTCTAGACGACAGGCGGCAGCAAAGTCAACAAGCTCAGCGACTAGAGCAGATGCAGCAGAGGACTCAAAGGTAGGGTCAGTGACAACAGTAGCGAGGAAACGCGTGACAGTAGGACTGGCAGCACGAGCAAGGTCTGACGGCGGGTCAGCAACGTCAGGAAGAGAGGACGCAGGAGGAGACGGCAGAGGGACACGCTGTGGAGCAGTGGAAGGACGCAGGGTCATATAGTGAGTGCCAAGGACAGGAGGAGGACGCTGACGCGGAGCACGACGACCAGCGCGGACAGCGCGGACAGGCGACTCTGGACGCGACTTAGGCGACTCTGGACGCGACTCAGGCGACTCTGGACTAGACTCAGGCGACGGAGGACGAGACTCAGGCTCACGACGCTCCGTAAGACTACCCGTCGGCGCAGTATAAGGAGAAGGACCAGGCAGCGGAGAAGCAGGCTGTAACTGTGACTGGACAGGCGGTGGACTCAGTAGGGGAGGAGTAGGACCAGTAGAGGGCGGGAGACCAAGAACCTGCTGAAGGAGCGGAACGTAGTACGGCCGCGGCCGCTCAGCACCTCCAGCTCCAAACCCCTCAGCAGCTCCAGTCCCAGCAGCTCCAGTACCTCCAGTACGAGCACCTCCAGGACCAGCGGCTCCAGCAGCTCCAGCACCAGCAGCACCACCAGCAGCACCAGCACCTCCAGCAGCTCCAGCAGCACCGCCAGCAGCAGCAGTGCGTCCAGCAGCTCCAGCACCAGCAGCACCTCCAGCAGCTCCAGCAGCACCAGCACCAGCAGCACCTCCAGCAGCTCCAGCAGCTCCAGCACCAGCAGCACCTCCAGCAGCTCCAGCAGCACCTCCAGCAGCTCCAGCAGCACCAGCACCAGCAGCACCTCCAGCAGTGCCAGCAGCACCGCCAGCAGCAGCAGCACCTCCAGCAGCTCCAGCAGCACCAGCACCAGCACCAGCAGCAGCTCCAGCTCCAGGGTCCGCGACACTAGTAGCACCACTTCGGAGACTGCAGCGCCGAGCGTACCACTCTCGGAGCCGCTGGGGAGAGGGCAGCTCCCGCCTAGGAGGAGAAGCACGAGCACCAGCTCCAGCAGCACCCCTAGCTCCAGAAGCACCTCTCCTAAGGCTGCAGTACTGTAAGTACCACTCTCGCAGCTGCTGTGAGGAGAGAGCGCCTCCAGGTGTAGCACGCTCAGTCGCAGTACCCTCTGGCTCAGTACCCTCAGACGTAGCACTCCCAGGCTCAGCAACCCCAGACTCAGCACCCGCAAGCTCCGCACCCCCAGGCTCAGCACCCCCAGACTCCGCAACCCCAGGCTCCGCACCCCCAGGCTCCGCACGCTCAGGCTCAGCACCCCTAGTAGGACGAGAGTCGACAGCTACCTCGACAGGCTCAACCGGGTCTACCTGGGACACACCTGAGGGAGCGGCACCCTGAGGGGGGAGGGGGTCTACCACAGCAGCACCTGGCGCGAGGAAGAGAGGCGGGGGGGGGAGCGGGGCAGTGCGGTAGGGGAAGAGGCGGTAGTAGGGCACCGACTCGTCAAAAGTGACGTCCTGAGAGGGCAGGACACGGCGCGAGGTGGCGTGGTAAAACTGCCAACCAGACGCGTCCGGGACAAAGCCAAGGAAGACACAAGGAACAGCGCGGTAGGAGAGCTTGTCCGCGGACGTATCGCAAACGGCCACAGAAAGTGGGGGGCAGCCGGATGGATCAAGGAGGTATG